AAGTCGAGTGGAGGGGTGGGCTCCTGAGACGGGAGTTTCGAGAGAGTCCTCTGGGATGTGAACTAGAGACGTGCATGAGGACGTCACTGGCTTAGCAATGGCAGCTAAGGCCGTAGGACGGAAGAACATGCCGCTGAGCTTATGGACCTGAAGGAGTCCTCAGGTGAGCAGAGTTAAGAAGCGGCCCTTGGAGTCAGTGGTCACGGGTCTGCCCCAGCTTTGCTAACACAGCCACTTTCCCTCTCTGAAAAATCGAAGGCAGACTGGTCAATTCTCGTGAGCTTCCTGTGAGACCATAAACAGACCACTGAGCACTGTGGTCGTTCGAGGCCATTATGCAGGAGGGGACTGGTGCTAGGTGACTTGGGGTGGAGGGGGCAGGAGTGGCAACAGGATCCAGGACCCGGAATCTAGGAGAAGGCGCCCTGGGAGAGCTAGATGATTTGTACCCATGTGCCACCATTCACCACACGGAAATTGCTCTCATCAGAATTATCAGTGACTAACCACCAGCCTCCTGGTCCCCCAAACCAGAAATCTAGGCATCGTCCTCGAATCTTTCCTCTTCTTTGACAATCGTCCCTCTTTCCTAAGTATTTCTTGCCTCTGCCCTCCTCGCCATGCCCCACGTGCTCGCACAGCATCCTCCTCCGCATCTTCTATTCTGTCTGGGGAGCGGGGAGGTCTGAACTGTTTCAACAGCCAACTAACCCCACAGAATACCTCTAGAGGTACTGTGCCTCTAGCCCCGCTCCCTCCTCCATCCGTGCACACTGATGCTGCCATCGGGAAGCCTGGACAGAAGATATGCAAAGAGCCTTTTATGACGCCTGGCACAGGGCAGGCACTAGATAAATAGTAGCTGCTAATATAATTATTCTCTTCTTGGAAATATATTTCATTGCCTTCTTCTAAATTTGTCCACACGGACACTGCTGCATATTAGTTGAAATGCTTTCCTTAACAATAGCTGAAGATGATTAGCTAGAGGGATCATAATAGGAATTTTAAGCAATCATTTAGATTAATTTCTGAGAAGTCTATGCGGAACCTTTCAAACCGAGTCCTTTCTGGTAGAACCTCGCCAGTTCCCACGAGCACATGCAAATCAGCACTCTGCACTTGCCATTTTCGCTGCCAGATTGTTTTTCGCTTTCCGGAGGAGCAGACCTCAGCTCTGTGTTCACAGCATCGCGGGGAGCCCCAGGCAGGGAGGAGGCCTGAATGGCTCCATTCCCACCTCCACTCTGCCGGACAATGCACAATGCACAAAGCCAGGTACTCCGTGGATCGGCCAAAAACACATCCGTAAATGCTTTGATTTGAAAGTTTAGGTATCAAAACCCAGCCACATCCATATCAAAAGTATTCTCTGCAGGAAGCTGCCAAAGACACTTTTGGCCAAAAGAATCTTTTTCAATTGTTTAAAGGTGCCTAGAGATGGACCTGCTCTTTCCCGGAATAAATCCTTACTGAAAACCTAAAGCATGTTAGTTTAATAAAACAACTGAACTCGAGAAAGAAAGAAACACAGAAACACAGAGAAACCCATTCTCCTACCTTCCTGAAGTGGGGCCTGTTAACTTTGCCATCAAGTTCCTTGCCGAAGTCAAGAAATCGTTTTCTGAGTGCGGGGTCCTGCTGCTGTACACAGTTCTTGAGTTTTTCAAGAACTTCACCCTTGGTCATATTCTTGGTCAAGGTGCTTTTATTTTTATCCTCAGTGGGCTTGCTTCTAAAATCACAAGCAGGCAGTCAGGTCCAGCGGGATACATCCCACACACCTCACCCATTTTCAGATAACCCCCGATGACAAGGAGGTTCACCGCCCCCTTGTCCCAAACGAGGAAACGGATGCTCAGATAGACACAGTGACTCGGGGACTTCGCACGCGCTCACGGCTCGTAGGTGCCAGAGCCAGAACTGGAGGTCAGCGGCACGGAGTCAGAAGCAGGCGGGCTGGGGTGGGGGCTTCAGCCCTGTGCTAAGGTTTTCAACTGCGTGTTGAGCTGGCTGAATATGACGTGTGACTGGGCAGACATGGCTGAAAAGGGATATTTTTGTGAACTGGGAAAATTAAAAGTCAGAGGCCATTATCTAGCCTTAGATTAAATATGCCGTTTTGTGGTAACTAGATCAAAGAAATCACCAGACATACACGGGAGGGAAGGGCTGTCCACAGCTTTCCCGGGGTGATTTACAAAATCAGCTAGATTTATAAAATACACACTTTGTGTGATGTGCTGTGTGTGAGTGTGAGGCTCTCTACGTGTGATCGGAGAATAATGATTTCTTCAGCTCCCAGAAATCTCCTGGGCCCTACTGGGTTGAGCGGGAGGGCGGTGCCGGGGACGGCCATGGAGAAGGAACTTCCACTGCCTTCCCGCTGCTTCTGGTGATTTTAAGAGCTCTCGGAAATCACATTTTATGAAGTGCTTAATTGTCATTACTTCTGTCACTGGTTTTAGGAAAGATTCTCATAACTGAATATTTAACTTTTCTCTTAAAATACCATCTTTCTGCCCATTTATAAAGCAACTACTACTGAAGTGCCCAGATATTTAAATTTAATTAGCACAGCGTTAGGACATTCCCATTGCCTATACTTAATGTTTTAAAGGGGATCTGATAAAGTGAAGTCTGAATATGCCCACATTTTACCTTTCCTCATGGATTTATTGCAAGCTCTGAACAAGCGAGTTAAAATAATATCTTTTCATTAGACTAGACCTGTATTTTTCAAAGCGAAGAAGGGCTAGAATGTTCATCTTTTAGAATATTCATTTTTAATAGGTTTCCTAGGCACCTTTTATTGTTACAATTCAATTTGGCGATCATTTTTAACAATTTTATCTTTCACGTTAGAAAAGGTTGACTGGCAATAAATATTCCACGGTGGTCAGGAACCCAAGTTTGTGGAAAAGGACGGCTACGAGGTATGTGGCAGGCGAGTGGCGGAGAGCTCTCTGGCAGCGGGGCGTCCTGGGGTCTCGCTCTAGGGCAAGCTCTAAGCTGTGGATTACCTGGGAAGGCCCCAAACCTCTCAGACCTCCGTGCTTTCATGTCTAGAATTAATAGATCTCCGCTTGCTCTAAAATTCCCTGGCTCTAATCACTGTACTTACACTTTGCCATCTTTCTTATTTAAATCATAAATTATCAATATCCTCGTTTAGGCAACTAATGTTTACTAACTGCCTTTTCACGATAGGTGCTACGGTTTTCACAGGTGCTTTCATTGTGCTTGATTGTTACCTCTCAGAAAGATCCAGCGGCCGCGGTCCCTCTTTCTGAAAATGTTCACTTAATGGCTGATCCTTTGGGGCAAGAACGGGGGGGACGGTGGGCGGGCCGTTAAGTCCTATGCTTGCCAAAAAGTTCTTGTAAAGGATCCTTCCTGAAGCAGTATCCTGAAACTTACTGCAGACTCTGAATTTTAAAAATAATTAGGACACACCTATTAGAATGGCTAAAACCTAGACAGGCAGACCTTACCTGGTAACGTGCCGGTGAGGATGCGGGTAAGCATGGTTCCCATCCACTGCTGGTGGGCGTACAGTGGGGTGGCCACTTGGGACAATGGCTTGGCAACCGAATCTATACACGAGCCTCCTGTCACACCCCTAGGCATTTCCCCAAGCGGAACAGGAATGTGTCTACGCAAAAACGTGCACATGCACAGTTCTATTTGTAACAGCCCCAAACCAGAAACAAACCTGTCCATCAACTGATGAGTGCAGCCACCAGGTGGGAGAGACCACAAGACGGAATACTACTCAGCAATGAAAAGGGACCAGCTCCGAATACACATAACGGCATGAATGAATCTCAGAATCCTTATGCTTGGAGAATAAAGCCTCACAAAAAAGAATATTGTGTATGCTTTCTTTTCATTTGTGTAAAATCCTAGGAAATGCAAAGTAATCGGTCATGACAGAGAGCTGACGAGTGGTTGCTGGGGGTGTGGAAGAGATGGATTGTAAAAAGGCACAAGGAAGATTTGGGGATGGTGAAAATGCTTGATATTGTGATGGATAGCTTGTGACGGTCTCATGGATGATGGAATGTAGGCACATTTCCTCAAACTATATCATCTAAATATGTGCAGTTTATTATTTGTAAAGAATACTGCAACAAAGATATAACAAATATAAAAAAAATTAATCAGAAATTTGGGTACAGAATTATGGGAAGTACTTATATTGAAATTTTGGCATGTGAAATTATTTTTTAAAATGTAGGAAACTATTAATACGGCAGGATCTATGTCTTTTCCAACATTTTGTTTGTTAATATTTTTCTAATCATAGAAGTTGCGCATGCTCATTGTTGCAAACTTGGTAAAGCCAGAGGCCCAAAAGAACATTCTAGCTGTGCGTGTGGCCCGGGAATCAGCCTGGGTCTGCATGTCAGCTCTGTGACGTGACAGCTCTGTGACTGAAGGCAGCTGTCCACGAGGTGTGGTCTCCAGCGTACCACGTCCATAAGGATGCTGAGACGTCATTCGTCCTCTCTGCCCTGAGTCTTCCATGTGTGTACTGCGGGCTTTTCGGAGGCTACATGTTGCGTGATCACTCCCAGCTCTGACCATAGATGGAATGTGCTCCCTAATGTTTTCTCAGGCCATTGAAACATTTAGGGTATAAATAAGCCGCAAGAGTCGGTTTTCAGAGAATGGACTCAGTTTCTCGACACCCCCTTCTACCTCATTACTAGTATAACTGCTGTAATTTCTGTGACCTCATTATCATCCAACAAATCATTATTTTAAAATCCCAACGTTTTCCCTGAGCCTACAGAGAAATCACAACGATTTCTAAGACAGTAAATGGTGACAGATACACTCCATACGCAAACATTCTTGAGGTCCTCAATCATTTTTAAGAATACGAAAGGGTCAAGAACACTCGACTCAGGATGTGGTCTGTACCTTTCTGTGCTCCAGTCCCCCCATGTACAAAATGCACGTAATGAAAGTGCCTACGTCATAGGAACTACCGTGAACAGTCAGCGGGGCCCCGTAAAGCCCTTGGCCTGAGGGCCGGCAGGCTACGTGTGTACATGTGCTCAGAAGGCTGTAGGTATGATCGCAGCATCACCAGATCACGATGATGATTTACACGTGGCCACACGTGCTCAGGAAGTTCCCGTGATCATTCTAACTGTGCTAGGTTTTGTCGCTGCAACTGTCAGCTACAACTTCACGAAGGCAAGTGGCCAGGAAACTGGCCATTCAGAATCGAGGGAAAAGACCATCTAAGAGCCCAGAGGCGGGGAGGGCCGGGGGTTTTCAGGAAACAGGAAGCAGTCCGGTCCGGCTGCGCTGCGAGCAGCAGGAGCAGCTGCAGCGGACGTGTATTGAGGATGCTCCGTGGGCTTGGCGCCGGGTGAAAGGCTCCATGTCTACCGGCTCGTTTGACCCTCGCCACAGCCCTCTTGTTATGTCTGAATGAGGAAAGAGAGGCTCAGGAAGGTTGAGAAAGTTGCCGAAGTTCACAGCTAGTTCAGGGCCGAGCTGGGAGTGAATGCAGGCTGTCTGGCTGCAGAGCCCGGGTCTGGAGGATCGATCCGGGAAATAAGGGTCTGTTAAAGCATCTGTGTGTTTTCCCAAGGGCAATGGGACACCCAGTGTTTTAAGCAGGATTTTAAAGTCAACTACTTCATGGAGAGTAGATTAGAGAGGGTTCCCTATGAAATACCCGGTTACCTACATGGCCAACACACTAGATTCATTCATTCGTTCATTCATTCATTCATGCGTTCCCTCCCTCGACAGTGAAGAAGCCCTGACCATGAGTTGGGAACTAGGGCTTCAAGGGTGAATAGACAAAGTCCCTGCCTTTTACATCCTTGGTGGGTGGCACAGATAATGAACATAAATAAATGATAAGAATCATGGCAAAATGGAGCTGGGTGACTAGTAGAGAGCAACTGTGGGGGAGGGGGGAGGGAGGGACAGTGACAGCCACTCTGGGTGGCGGTGTGCCACCCACCTCCAAGTTAATGTGTCCAAAATGGAACTTACGGTTTTCATCACTGACACCATCCGCCCCCGCCGCCCCGTCTCCAGTGGCAAGTGGCAACCCAGAGCACAGGCCCCAGGCGGCAGCCAGGCACCTCGACTCCTCCTCCGTCCCTTCTCACCCCGAATCACACCCCTGGCAGGTCGAGCCAGCTGTACCCCAAGTGTATCCTGAACCTCCGAGTGTGTCCACGATTCGCACGCCCAGAAGAGCTAGAGACGAAGGGTTAGCCCGCCTGGGGGAGGGGCCTCTTGCCACCCCAGATGATCCCCTAAGAGGCTCTGTCATTCGCACCCCCACTGGCACCCACGAGGACCAAGCTGTCCGCTTCCTGGCTGGCACGAAGCGCTACCTTTTAACACATGCTCGCAAATTTGTATTCCTTTTACTGCAAAGTGATATCTAACATATTTCATTTTTTCTACTTATTAAGCAATATTTTAAGAAGCGATAGCAAGTTTTATGCTCCTAGCCTTTGGCAGATAGAGACATCTCATTAGGACTGAATCATATTGTTTCCATGCTGTCCAGTCTTAGGATAATTTCTTTATGGCAAGTGATGCCGTGTTAAATGTATGGTGGTGAGAACGGGTTTTTTCCTTTTTACACATTAATATATGTAAGAAAAGAGGAGTTGACGTAATGAAAACACTTGCTACTAAGGCAGGACAGAAACGCCTGCACTTTGGGGACACCCTCCTTTTTATGAACAAGGAGACAGATGCCAAGGGGTTCCCCTCTCCGGCCCCTCAGAAGCTGCTGCAAACCTTTCACAAGCTCCCAAGCTCCCTGGCCCACCCTGACGTCCCCTCCCAGAGGATGGCACCCTCCCCGCTGCACTGGGAACACGGAAACAGAAGTCTGGGCAGCTGCCTGCCGAGGAGAGGGCCCCAGTCACCTACCCTAGCACGCTTCCGGAGAGCTTCACTAAGTACGGCTGTGGGGCCTCCGGATCCCCGCTTCAGTCTCTGTCTTGCCGTTAACTTCGAAGCCCCGGCCTACGAGCAAGTGCAAAGCAGGCCTGCCGCACACTGGACCCTCTCTCGCTCTGCATCGCCACCCTCCTTGCTAGCGAGCTCCTCGTCGCTGGCACCTGCTGGATCCACCTTGCCCCTCCCAGCCCCACCTGCTCCTTTTGTGACATCTGAGGCGCTGACCTCCCCCTGTTCCCTGAGACTCTCTCCTCTCTTAGCCTCCAGCTCCTGTGTTCCTGTGCCACTGTCCTAACCTTCTCGGTCTCCGCGGCTGCACCACCCCAGTCACTGGTCAGCCGGGCTGTTTTCCCAGGTCCCACCACAGCCCTCTCGCCGCAGACGGTCTACCACCTGCCCCAGGTAAACGCTGCTTGTCACACAACCAGTTCATTGAACAAATGAACAAACTGCCGATGCAGCGAGGACCCTCCCTGGGCCCCGCGTCCCCCCGGAGTCTCCTTCTGGTGCTTTCTCCTGCCTAGTTACTCCCCCCTTGCGCTCCAAACTGGCCGACAGCTCTGCCTGTCGCCTGACTGCCCCAGTGGCCCCTCATTCCCTCCTCTCCCACGGCCCTCCATGTCCAGTCACCCGTCTTGTCCTTCTACTGTCATGGACAGCCACCCCCTGTCACTGCCTCGTTTCAAGCTCCTGCTTACCATCCGTTCTCCTCACTGGAGGCAGAGCGATCTTTATAAAGCACGAATCTGACGTTGCGCCCCGCCCTCATCTAAAGCCACCTTCCCAGGTTCCAGTTGCTCCCAGCTGTGCTTCTCAATCACAGCTGCACGTCAGAGCCAGCGGGGCCCTTAACGGAACGGTGCCCGGCCCAGCCGGTGGACAGGGCTCAGCACGGGGATCTTTGAAGCCGTCCCGAGGCTTCTCAGCTGCTGGCCCAGACCACCGCCTTCCCGATGAACCTGGCTCCCTAGTGTGGCGCACAGATGGTCACCCTCGCCTGGCCCGGCCTGGCCCTCGGCCTCATTACCCTACTGGCACTCTCCCAGAAAACTCCCTACCCCGGAGTCCCCAAAGGTGCCACGTGCCCCCAGCCCTCTGGGCTTTGCGCTGCTGTGCCACGTCCCGAAATGCCCTCCCCTTATTCTCCAGATTCAAGGGTCACGTGTGCAGGAAGCTTCCGCAGTCAGCGGGCGGTTGGGGGCGGCATGGGAGGCACCATCCCTTGCAGAACGGGGGGCTTCGAGCTGTGGATTGTCAAGGTTGTCTGCAGAAAGGGAAAGAACCTGGCTCTGTGCCCCAAGAGCTACGTCCCTCCGGGTGGAGAGTGAAAGACACAGGTGGCAGAACAGCCACAGGGGCCTTCGAGACACTGTCCTCTACTTTCTCATAATAGCCCTGGCCCCTTCCAGCTTTGGCCCACCCACTGCGAATTAAGTTTTGGACAAAACTATAATTCAAGCTACCATTTATGGATGGCTGGTCATAGCCAGACGCCCTGGGGGGTAAAACAGAATAATGATGATCCAGGACGGACCCAGGCTCTGCTGCTTACTGGCTGTGTGACTCTGAGTAGGCACTGACCACCCCCGGGCCTCTTTCTACACGTGAAAAGGGATACTGGCTGCCCGACAGAGTGTGGTGAGGACTGAACCCCACAGCACGCGCCGAGCTCTCGGCAAACGCCCGGTGCTGGTAAGGGCTCAACGGACGGCGCTGTGATCAGCTCTGCCCAGCAATACTGCGAACACGTGCAGGAAAAAGGTGGAGAAGCATAGCACGGATGAACCTGTCACCAAAAAACTTACTTCGATAACTGTTCCGTCGGTAAAAACGGACAGAAGATGCGCATGATTTTCCTGAAATTGTTTCGACCGACGAGCCCTGTGTCTGCGAGGTCATAGGACTGCAGCATGTTATTGAAAGGAAGCAGGTTCCTAGCGATGGCGTCCTGGACAATCTCGTCCACCTAACAACGACAAAGACGACAACACTTTACCCAGCTGCACGTTCGTGACCTGGGGTGGTAGCGCTCTGGGGCCACAGGGGAAAGGTTACTTACTGAATCCCAGGCCAGGAGCAGAGGCGCCTTGGCGTCCGTGCTGGAGGGCAGTCTTCCTACCTGCTTGGGAAAGAGAAAGGACCTAAGTGCAAATTACTCGTAAAGGCAGCAGGAGGTCTGGAGGCCACGAACTGGGACTGTCAGCTTTGCCCCTGATTAGCCAGTGCCTCGGAGGCCTGAGCAAGTGAGTTTGCCCCCTAATTCCCATCTGGAAATGGGGATAATAACATTGAACTTGCACTTATTAGGGAAAAAAGTACAATAAACGTGAAAAAAATCCATCGCCTAGAAATTAAATAATGCAAAGTCAAAGAACAGTGGGGTGGCGTTTTTTGCCTATCGGAATGACAAAAATGGAAAAGGAAGCAAATTGCCAGTGTCGACAAGGAATGATGTTAGCTGACTGGGTAATCTACAGACTGGCGTGACGGCGGCCAGCTCTGGGGAACAGCTAGGAAACAGAGGCGGACCGAACACGCACCATTCACTGCATTCTCTTTTGTATCTTTCGCGTTTTGTACTTGATACATATGTTCTTCTTTAAAACAATTAAAATAATTTTTAAAATACATAGATATTCTTCGATCCCAAAATTCAATTTCTAGAAGTTTATGCTAAAGAAATCATCAGAGTGATGCATAAAAGCAGGCACCACAAGATTCGCTGTAGCAAAATTTATAAAAGGAAAAAAAACACCTAGATTAGAACATCAGGGAAGAGTTACTCTGTATCTTTTAAAATTATATAGCAGAACTTTTATTAGGTGTTAAAAATATGTTAATAAATAACAATATAGACTAAAAAGGCATTAGCTTATATGATCTCATTTTGAAATAAAATAGATGATCTTATAGGAAAGCATATATCCAACTCATCAAACTGAATGAAGTAAATACGTGGAGTTTTTTGTATATTAATTATACCTCAATAAAGCTGCCAAAAAAAAAAGCATGTGTGTAGGTATAAGGTTTGGAAAACTACAACTATGTATGAGTGGGTATCAATTCCTCAATGTTAGGGTTAGTGATGGTTTTCATTTTCTTCTATTTCCATATCTGTGTTTTCTCATTTTTCTAATTCATCCTTCTATGTCGATTGGTTCACTCGCCGAACCGTTTTGTGAGTGTGCCTGGCACTGGGCTCTCGCCCGAGGTGCAGAACGGGCAGTGAAAACAGAAAGGCCTGTCTTCACAGAGGCTTGACCACGTGACCGCGACGGGTGCGTGAGGTTGATGACTGCACGGCGGGCTTCCTCAGAGGTGTCGGGGAGGGCCCCTGGGCAGGCGCATGGCGCAGGGAGGCCTGGTGGGCCAGAGCGGCAGGAAGGAAATGCTGGCACCTGCCGCAGTGGAGGAGGGGGTCTGGGGAGCTGACAGGATCTGACTACGTCAAGCCAAGACCACCCCACTCGCCACGTGGAGGGAGAGCGGATGGCCTACATGTCTATATTCCTGGCTATGTGCGGGGCTGCTGTGGAGGTCAGACGTAATGACTCCCAAATGCAGACACAGGATCTGCCCCACAGCCGCGTTCAGGAAAAGTGTCATTATCCATTTCTGTGTGTGACGGGGCTCTGGGACTTTTGAATTAAAGTTCAAGCAGGACCAAGTGACGTGGGTTGAAGAAGTGGTTATCACTTTGCACAGGTGGGTACTCAAGAAATCATGACATGCAAATGAAAAGCTAATTTGTAGCTCTTAAAAGAAGCCTGAAACATTCCAACAAGACCCTGTTAGTGCCTGTTGCAAGCATCATCTGAAGCTAATCTGATTTCTTAAAAGTTAGTAAAATTTGTAAATGCTATAGCTGTTAAAGTTATGGAAGCATTGCTAATAAAGTTAGGGAGGCATTGCTAATAATTTTAAAAGGCTCTGGACTAATGGCGATTTTTCAATCCAAAACTCTTGATTTTTCAGTCCAAAGACACGAACACTAAAAGCAAGAGTTAGTCGCTTCAGGCAATGAGCAGTTCCTTTTTGAAAAAGGTGAACGAACGTAAACATTCTACAGATCCTGATGAGCGCCAGAGGGGTGACCGTCACAAACGCGCCTCTCTGAGACTAGCAGTAAGAGGAGAGCCACTGAAGTGCCTTGAAAAGAAGTTACGTCCTCACACCATCCAGGGATGGGTCCTCAGAACGTCAGACAGCATCCTTCAACACGGTTCCGAAACTACGAGTTAAAATCAAGCACCTCCCAGCACATCACCCTTACTTAAAAAAGAAAATAAACTCAGCTGAAAAAAACGTGCCGTCATTCATTCATTTAAACTGCATTTTGCCAGCATCTCTTCTTTTACTAAGAATACTTCTCGGTTTCCTGCCATAAATAGAAATTCAAACATGAAGTTGTTATAAAACTTACCTTAGGGTTTTCCTCAAGCAGTTCAATAAACGTGCTGACATCGACCAACCCGGTGCACCCAGGGTCAAGGGCCTGCATTAGTTCTTTGAATTCTGAATCACTTATTTTTACAACCGTGCAATTTATAATATGTCGCAAGTCTTCCCTTGTTATCTGTCTCTTCGGTTCCTGAGCATGAGAGAGTATACAAGGGAATTTTTAAAAAGAAAAAGGGAAGGAAAAAGCATTATATATATTTAGCATCATTGACTAAACAGTGAGCTTTGGCTAAATAGAATTACGATGGGAAAAAGAGAAGACCTCAATTGATAATCGTTCTATATAATCGTTATCTTGACACATGTGCCAAAAGCGGTGGGGCTGGGAGGATGGGGGATCCTAGAACTTCGCAAGTGTAGTTCCTACAATGTCCTCTGTCAGGACTTGGGCAGGAGATGGCTCCAAGGGAGGAAAGAGGCTGATTTTTCCAATAGAGGCCAACCCCCTTCTCCGGGATAGGCTACAAGCTGGCTGCCACGGATGGCTCAAATAATACCCCTGCCCCAGTCCCACCTGAGGGCTATGTGGCTCAGGCACATAGGACACAAAACTTCCCGGCAATTCAATTACCACTTGCCAATTTACTAAGGATATTAATTAGGCTGGTTTTCACTACCACCAATTTCATCAATTACATAAATGGACAATTACTTAGTGAGAAAAGTTTCAGCCATGGTGCATAAAGAAAACATATTATGGGCAAGATACTGAGAGGCAAACTCCTTCCCCAAGAATAAAAAATTACCAATAAGTAAATTAAATATCAAAATTGAGAGATACTGTTTACTAGAAAAACAGAAAAAAAAAAATTAAAAAGGAGCTCCACCTCAGAGAGAGGTATTGTGACAAGCGGTTTATGAAGCGAGAAAAGCAGTGTACGAATGTCAACTATTACTTTGGGGTCCAAAATCTGAAAAGGATGTAGGGTTCTCTGGTGGCAAGTGATAGTCATTCATGCTTACTTTGGGTTAGGGAGGGGCAATTTTTCAGTGTCTAAATAGAAATCGCTGATGACTAATTCTTTTGATTTTTTTCAACAGATTTATAGCATTGTGAAGCCATCACAGCCACCTAGTTCCGGAACACGGTCATCACCCCCGGGGAGACCTCAAGCCCATTCATTCACAGTCGCTCACATGTCCATCCCCGGCCTAAGGCAGCTCATCTATTTTCTGTCTCTTTAGATCTGCTTCTTTCTGGGTATTTCACGGAAGCAGAATCACATCAGATATATATGCATCGGTATGTATCTCGCATCCGGCTTCTATCACTTAGCATAACGCTTTTGAAGTTCATCCGCGACGTATCACAGATCGGTATTCTGTTCCTTTTTACGTTTGTTGTGATTCCATTATGCGAATATGCCACCCTTTATCATATCACAGCTGATGGACATTTAGATTCGTTCCGATTTGGAAATTGATTATTGCTGTTGCTATGGACATTTGCACACAAGTCTTTGTGTGGACGTGTTTTCATTTCTCTTGAGGAGATACCTAGGAGTGGATCGCTGGGTGAATCTCTGTTTAAGTCTTAAAGAAACTGGCACGTTGTTTTCCGCAGTGGCTGCACCACGTGACGTGTCCACCGGCACCGGGAGAGAGTTTCACCACATCCTCATCAGCACTTATTATCGTCCAAGTGGGTTGACTACGGCCATGTATAATCAAGTGTGAAGTGGCATCTCATTGTGGTTTTGATCTGCATTTCTCTAATGTCTAAAGATTTTGAGCATCTTTTCACGTGCTCAATGGCCATTCACGTACCTTCTTTGGTGAATCGCCTATTAAAATCTTTTGCCCATTTTCGGGTTGTCTTCTCATGGGGTTCCAGGAGTTCTTATATACTCTACATACAGACCTATAATTTACATATGTTGTCTCCTAGTCAGTGGCCTGTCTTTTCACTTTCTTAATGGTATCTTCTGAAGCACAAAATTTCTAACTTGATAAGTCCAATTTATTGATTTTTTTTCTTTTATAGATCATGCCTTTAATGTCACATCTAAGAAATATTTGCCTAATACAAGGTGACAAAGATTCACGCATATGTCTTCTAAGAATAGTTTCAGCTCTTATGCTCAGGTCTAGGATGTATTTTTAGTTAATTTTTGTACGTGGTGCAAGGTCGTTCATCTTTTTGAGTATGGATATCTAATTGTCTCAGTGCCATTTGTTGAAAAGTTGATCCTTTCTCCCACCGATTTTGTCAGAAACGAGTTGACCGTGGTATAAGGGTTTATTTCTGTACTCTCGGTTCCGTTCCACTGATTAATGTGTTTATCTTAATGCCAGTGCCACGCCACCTTTATTACTACAGATTCATAATCTGAAAGCTAAGTTCTGTACCTTCATTACTCTTTTCCAAGACTGTTTAGGTTATTCTGGGACCTTTGCATTTCCACATGAATATTAAGATTCATTTTTCAATTTCTACAAAAAAAGCCAGCTGGGATACAGAAGCGAGCCGCGCCTGATTTAAGTGTAAGTGACGGGGTCACCGGGTCCCCTCAGAGAGATGGCGGCAACGTGTGGAGGCGGCACGTGCGGTTGCTGGGGAGGGGGCACTTGGAGCGGATTCGCGCAGCCTTCCACAGTGCCGTGTCCCTCTTAGAGCAGGTGAGGGACCCGTTTCCCATAGCTGTCCGTCCTCCGCAGCCAGGCAAGAGGCGCTCCCTGCCGCTCCCGGTCTCTCTCTCTGCTGTCCTCACCCTTCCAGGTCCCAGAAGACGGCCAAGGCCAAGGCAAAGGGCGGCGGCCGGTCCCACTGGGAATCCATGCACCCTGCACCCCTCTGCCACCCGGCGGCCACTGCTGTTCTGTGACACTCCCTAGTGTAAGCTCATCGTCAGCTGGAACTTGGCATTATTCATCCCTGTGGTCAGCCTGCGTGCCCCAGGCGGGCCCCACAGGGGGCAGGCACACAGTCCCTCAGCTACTCCACGCCCTCGACACCTCTGGTTGAATCAGCATTTTGGTCACCATTAAAGCATCTAATATTTAGAGTGGTTCGTGTCATCACAGTCCTCCGTTAACAGAGAGGGAGAGTTCACGACTTTTAATTAAATTAGTTCTTCAATGTATTAATAGGCGCTGACGTGGGTAAACACCTGGAGCCTTCATCTATCATGAAGAGGCGGCCCAGGAGGCCTACGCGCCGGCAGCCGGTTTGAATCCTGGCTCCACCGCCCACCAGCTGAGGGTTAAGCTGGTTACCTAACCCCCACGCTCCCTCTCCTCAGCACGTGGAGTTGAAACTAGAGGATCAAACGAAGTCAGTGAGAGCGTCCACCTCACAGAGGTGTCGAGAGGCCACCGTGACTGAAAACAGGTAAACCACTTATGATAATGCCTAGTACATAGTCAGAGCTCACTCCTGCTGTTCACGCAGAGAGGCCTAAAGATTGATTACAGTGGTGTATGCTGGCGAACGTGTCTCCCTGGGGAAAACAGAACCCCGAACCTCTGAATCAGGCTATGCTCAGAAACCCCAAGCAATGGCACTGTAGAGTGACAGGCGGGAAGCAGGTCTCCAGCACAGAGAGCCAACGCCAAGCCCCCAGTCCGCTGCAGGCTCTGGGCGCCTCCCGGCACCGCCCCCTAGTGGGCAGGCTTTGTGGCAGGCTTTGTTAGACCCACGCTGAGGCCCAAGAACTTCTTTCATAAAAGGACATATCTGAGTCTGAAGGAAAATAATTCACTGTAATACTGGTTATTTATTAGAGATTCAGTTATCAAATGTGCTTAATAAATAACAAACCTGGGAAATGTCACTAGGTATCAAAAATATCTAAATGTTGCTTTCCTAAAATAAGCATTAAAGTGGGACAGAAGCCAAGCTTTGAAAGCAAGTTGCAAATTCGTGAGTTAGCCTCCCTCGGCGGAACCATCAAACAAGTGAACAGGCTATTCTGGAACTGAGAAAATGTCCCCGTTACGGGCTACGAGTTGGTCGCGACCCATAAACTCTGGGTTGAAGGGGGGGGGGCGGGGGGGAGCGGGGCCGACAGGGCTGGATTACTCATTAATTACAGTTAATAAACAGTTAATAAGGACGATTTGCTCCATTCTTAACAACCTTGCCACGCCTTGATCTCAGCTCCAGGCACATAACTTACAGTATTGGAATGAGTTTTATGTCACCTGTCCTGCCAACGAGACCCAACTCTTACAGTCAAATTCCTAGTGTGTAATAGGACCTCAAAAAAAATGTGTGTTGGATGGATGAATGAATGAGCACACGGTTTTATTGGTCTCGTCCTGAGCATGCTAGCACTCTCAGAAACAGGAGTTTTCCACCAGAAAACCTTACGGCATTAAGCGTCAGCAGCACGTTCCTCAGCGATGCGTGATCGTCATGTCTAAATAGCTTTGCGACAATATTTTCCTTGCGAGATTGATTTCGAGAGTTGGCACTACAAAGAGATTAACAGAAAAACAGGAATAAGATTATGTTCTTGAACTTTGTTCTTTCTTAATGCCAAAAAAAAAAAAAAAAAAAAAATCGCCCTCCCAACGAGCATAATAACGTCTTCTTTGTGGATGGCTCTTTTTCCTGAAAGCGTAAGGGTGTGTGCGAGCCCATCCGTCCCCGGGTCAGTGGGACAGCTAACCAGGGAGATGGCATGCATGCAGGCGTCAGGCAGCTCTGCTGGGCCAGCACTCTCCTCTTCCCAAGCCATCTTGCCGGCCTGTGCCTTGGTCTCAGAAAAGACTGGGAAAGACACCGCGGTCAGTGCTGAGACGGTCGCCACCGGCCTGCAGGCACGGCACACCGCAGCGGACTCACCCGCGTGAAACCGAGGGCACGGGTTCCCGGTTTTAAAGCACTGGGGGAACATCGCCTCCTCTCCCCACTGACAATGGCCACGGCCACCTACGTTAGCAGACCCCTCTCCCTTTCTGGCCTCTTGTTTTCATTGCATGTGTGCTCTTGAAGGCCTATGGTCACCCATGCTGGAGGTCAAGGCCAAGTTCACTATGGCCGCTAATCAGAAAGGGGCTGCAGAATCTCCTAATAAAATACTCCCCCTCTCGGTGTCGATTAGACATTGACACTTCCCACTAAATAAAGAATGAGAGTTTGCTGAACCATTCCCAGATTTGGGGGGCAATTTTACCGCTGCATATGTACAGACATCTTAGCTTCTTCGGGTTGTGTGAAAACATATAAACACACACACATACGCCTACCATTACTTTTAAGAAACATATAAAGTAGGCGAACTCCCGAGTCTGTGTTCCTCATGTGACTCGTTGGAACCTGGCTTTTCTAAAGCCCACGAGCACCGGCACAAATGGATGCTCTTTGCAATAATCCTCATCCATCGCTGTACCACTGACGTCAGGCCAGACGGTTCTTTGTTGTGTGTGTATGGGGGGGTGGGATGTTTACCACCATCCCTGGCCTCTGCCCCCTATCGGTAGCATGCCCACCCCAAGTGTGACAACTCAAAACGTCTAGTGACTGCTAAGTGTCCCCAAGATTGCTCCTAGTTGAGAACCACTGTTTTAAAGTAAATAAAACTCACACTTTCATTCTTACAGTCCTGGACGTGCTATCAGATGAGAACACGACTGAGAAAAAGAAGTCTTGTCACGTAAGAAACAAACTCGCAGAGGTGCACCCCAGGAAGTGGAGCCAGGCGGGAGGGGGGCGGAACACTAGGCAGTCCATCGAATACTCACCTGTGCCCGAGACAGGGGCTGGACCCAGTGAGACGGGTATGAACTCTGTGGTATATTTTCCTTTGCAACAGAGCACAGTGCTTTCCACGGACATGCCGGGATTATAAAGCCGTTTTTTCCCCCACTTTAAGATTTATATGGGGCAACGGATACAGGATGCACATCAGCATAAACAACATACTTCTTAGAGCAAAAGCCTCAATTCTAACATGTCATACTATTAAGTACTTTTTCACATTTGGGGGCCCCCAGCACAGTGTATGCGATCACGTAAATCTGAGGTTACGACAGACGTTAGAAGGAAAATAGAAATGACGGCTCTCGAATAACGCCTGGCGAACACTCGCCTACACACAACCTCACGGGAACCCACGCAAAGCTCGGGGGGGACCCCTGCCGTGCAGGGTCTGGGTCATCCAGAGGATCTGGGCCCCGGTCCCGCCTCTGCTGCGCACGTACGAGCTAGAGAGCGCCCCTCGGGGTCTTATTTTTTCATCTTGAAGTTGGAATGATAATTATCCCTACCTTATAGTTTCAGGCAATTCTGAACAAGAAAAATATATGGGAAATAACATAAAACTGCAAATCGCTCTGGGAAAGTTTATAATTATTCGATGCAGACTAATTCGTCATTCGTAAATAAAGAATTCGGGTATTTACTATGATACGTGTGACTGAAGTCTGGTTTTTTTTTTTTTACGTACCTATTTTTTTTGGTCAGGGGAATTGTACGGTTAACTTCCAACCGCTTAGGCTCGTACAGCAATTTTAGAAACTGCTTCCAATTGACTTTCCTGGTGGTCTTCAGTCCAAATCTGGATTTTAAAAAAATATATTATTTTAAACATAATTTCTTTAACGTTGCCTGGATGACATGCTCAATACTGAATTGACAATGGCGGCGATGAATTCACATAGTTTCAAAGGTAAGGTAAACAAAATCACTTAGTAAAATGGTACCACAAACTGATTTTTCAAAAGCGAGGAAAACACAGACTGATTATACATCTCCATGTCTCTATCTTCCGTTATGAGGAGCCTACACGGAAGGCAGGGACAAAGGGATTTGATTCAAGTTCTCATGTCCATGAAATAATTCTTTCAAATTCATTACGGGGTAGGCAGAATAAAAGCCCTCGGGGTGTCCACATCCTAATCCTTGGGACCCGTGACTATGGGACCTCATGTGGCAAAAAAGGACTTTGCAGAAGTGATTAAGGGTGTGGACCCTGAGACAGGAGAGCCGCCTGGGCTGTCCAGGTGGGCCCAAACTAATCACAGAAATTCTTAAAATAGGACAATTTCTCCAGCTGCCGCCAGTGAAAGACGAGCTAACAGGAGAAGAGCCAAAGCATGGGACACTGGCCGCCTTGAAAGTGTAGGAAGCGGCCACGAGCCAGTGCGGGCAGAAACGCGGGCCGCCTCTGGGAGCTGGAAAAGGCAAGAAATGGGTTCTCCTCCGGAGCCTCTGGAAGGAACGCGGCCCTGGTGACCCCTTGGTTTTGGTCCGGTGAGACCCTTGCTGGGCTTGTAACCTACAGAACTTGAGGAGGATGCGTTCGTGTCATTTTAAGCCACTAGGCTTGTGGTAGTCGTCATGACAGCAATCGAAAAATAGTGCAGATTGAAAATCTTAGCAAGAATAAGTAATTGGAAAATTGTTCATAAATCAATTGCCAAAGTTAATTCTGTCCCGTGACTCAGGGCCCAATAACTTTGGAATTACAAGATGCCAGTGGAGCAACCTGATGTGAGCATCGGCTGGGATTCTGGGGGACCGAGGTGCAATTCTGTGCTCCTTCACGCCTTACCCACGTGACCTCAGACAAATGGCTTACTATTCTGATTCTGTTTTCTCGTCCGTAAAATGGGAGTAACGAGATCTACTGGGAGGGTTGCTATAAGGATTAGAGCTAATAGACTTTTAAAAAAAGAAAAACAAAACCCAAAAGACCCTTCTGCAGTACCAGTCACCAGCAAGTGCTGAATCACATCCCCTTCCCTGCTGTCCTACGTTCCTTGCACTGAGCATCGTCCCTGCTTCCATAACAGGGCTGCGAAAGGAGTTTGGGCTGAAATCCTTAAACAACAGATATGAGAGGCCAAAGTGGCCACGAGACAAACTGCCCTGTTTTGATTGTTAAAAACTAGTGGTTAAGGGAGAACTGGTTTCGTGTGGTTCAGATGCGGGCCATGTGAGAGAGAGCAAGCGTGCGTGTGCACACTCACAAACACACGGGGTCATCTCAGTGTCTGGCCAATGAGGAATGAACGGACCTTAACAGAGAAGGTTTTCCTTCTCTAGTCCCGGATTCCCAGGAGCTGAGGAAAGAACAAGCGGTCAGCCGACATGGAGACGCATTCGCCCGCAAGCAGGAACAGTGGACGTGCAGTGTGAATGTGGAACCCAAACACCCCGCCTCAGACACCGGGTAGGCCCAGAGATGCTGTTTCCAGCTCACGGCAGCGCCAGACAAATAAGAATTTTCACGACCTCCTTTCTTTCCTCCCTCCGTGACTCCAATTCCTAGAGGAGTCTGAAATTGAGTTCGCGAAATGCAAAGGGGAAGCAAATTGCAAAGTGGTGAGAGGAAGAAGCAGCCATCTGTGCCCCCTTTATTCTTGCCTACAACAGGTTCCAACCTGGGTGACGGAACACGAGCCACATGTCAGTCAGTCCACTGTCTTTGACTACTCGGTGAGACTGGCCATTGCCATTACTAATCCAAGACAAACCAGAAAAATTAAGAACCAGAAAAATTACTAATCCAAGACAAACCAGAAAAATTAAGATCTGTTTTTATCCAGGGGCAAAAGAACTAATCCAGCTGAGCAATTTTAAGGGACTATGGGAATCGAAGTGAAGTTTCTTTAAGATTGCGGCCCACAAGCCTCAGCAGCCTAACTTAGGTAACGCACGCGCCCGCCCGTCCAGCTACCCACCCACTCGCACCCGCCCATCCAGCTACCCACCCACTCGCACCTCATTATAAGGTGCCAAGCTATCGTCTTCTTTCACTGGAATTTCTGTGCTCACCTCCTCAGTGGTCTCCTTGTACTTACTCTCGCTGTCCTCCAATATGTTTTCAAACTTTAACCAGCCTGCTCTTTTTGAAATGCAAATGTGATCAGATTACTCTCTTGCTTAAAATCTGTCTTTGACTCCCCACGGCTCTTAGGATAAAAACCGAAACCGGTCTGCAACTCACAGCCAGCGCAGTGGGCTCCACTCGCATCTCTGGTCGCATCCTGCATCACGCTGCCGCTTGCTCTCTGAGCTCCGGTCACACTGGTCCCTCAGTTCTTTGAAAGGAGAAGGCTCTTTCTTGTTCTAGCTCCTTTACACTACTGCTTCCTTCGCCAGCTGCCACAGTCCCCGCCATTACCTACTTCCCAGACTTTATGTAGCTAATTCTACTCCTCTTTCGGGTCTCAATTTAATCACGACTTTCTCAAGGAACCCTTCCCTGACTTCCATAGCCAGGGCCATTTGTCCTATTAGCCTGGCTCATAGCCCTATGTCTCATTCCCTTATACCATTTATCACTAAGTATTAATATTATTAGCAGTTAACAGTTGTATAGCACTTTGATTATAACTATGATTACAGCAGCTAATGCTTGATAGATGATAATTACTTCTACTTCCGCTGTTAGCACCATGTACGTGGTCGAGAGAGATTGATTGGTTAATTGATTTTGTTAGGCATACAAGGCAACATCTAATAAATAGATTGTGGCAGTGGTTTGATGCAGTTATTCGCGTACAAAACCAATTTTCATCTTTCATACTCTGTCATTCTTCCCCAAACTTTGCCTACTATTTTGACACAATTTGTTAATGCTATATATCTTCACCTTAAATTTCAGTTAGAAATTAATTTTCTACAATGGAAATACTGTGACTACTATTAAAAACAGAATCAGCTTCGATATATTATGTTTAGGAAATTGCCTTGTTCTTTGGACAAAATATCAAACTAGATCTTCATTCCTTACCATATGTAAAATAAATTCCAAATAGATTAAAAAGTTAAATGTGAAAACTAGAACCATTAGAAAAATAGAAGAAAATCTAGGTAAATACTCATATGATATCTGAATAATAGATTTTTAAGCAAGATTTAAGAGAAGCAATCACAAACTTATCTATTTACATTAAAATACAAGATTTCTGTATACCAGAAATATTAAAACAAAGTTACAAAGTTGTCTATCATATATACGCATGATAAATCGTTAATATTCTTAAAACACAAAATGTTTATACAATTAAATATGAAACTACTGACACCTGACTTCCGCTTCCATTAATGGTGCAGTGGGACCCTACTGGGCCGACCCTCCTGCAGATGATCCCAGTAAACTCTGGGCGCAAGACCCGAAAGCACTACGGAGCGAGCTGGGGCGGATGCAGGCTGTGGGGAGTCCGGGCTGAGAGAAGCGGCGCTGACAGGTGTCCCTCGACGCCGCCGGCCTGGGGCATGGCAGCGGGAAGGGTGGCAAAGGCACCAGTTCCAAAAAAGGAGCCTTCACGGCCTGGGCAACTAGAAGGTCAAACTCAGATAAACCATGACCCCTGGTTTGAAGGAGGAAATCCTAGACGAGAAAGAGCCAGACAGAGATCCCCGAATTCTGTCCCACTGCATTCCCGAATCTTACAGGACCAGAACCTACCCACGATAGCTTCGCTAAACACAAAAGATCTGAACTCAGACAGAGCTGCCACGTAAGAAACAGGGTATGCAGTTTGAGTCCAACCGAGGTAACTATCTACTAAAGCAAAAGAAACAACATTTATTGAAAAAAAGAATTTAGAATCTCCACAAGTTAACACTCAAAATGTCAAAGACAGAATCTAAAATTACAGGACATATGTAAAACCAGGAAAATGGAACCATCCAATACGAAGAACACAGAATATACATATATTTACAAAATGAATAGAGCTTCGAAGACATAATACCGGGCAGTCTGACATACATGTAATTGAAGTCACAGAAGTAGAGGAAAAAATGGGGCAGAAAAAAAATGTTGTAGAAGTAAAGGCCAAAATTTCTCCCAATTAATTAAATATACACATTTATAGATTTAAAATGCTGAACAAACAGCAAGCGGGACATGCCCGAGAAAGGCCACGGCAACGCACGTCGCAGTTACAGAGCTGAAAGTCAGAGTCAAAGGGTCCGTCTTGAACGCGACAAGAAGAAAAGTACATTCCATACAGGAGGACGACAATTTAACCGATGACTTCGCCTCCAGAGCGATGGGTCCCGAAGGAGTGGGACGACGTAATGAAACGCTGCAAGCAACAGCAAAGTGACCCAAGAAGTTTTTATCTAAGAAAACAGCATTCAAAAACGAAGGAGAAATAAAGACCTTTCTCAATTAAAGAAAACTAAAGGGACCCGTCTTTAGCACAGCTACACCTCAGCGAAGAAAGGTCTTCAGGTGAAGGGAAAGGAGAGTAGATAGAGACCTCGGCTCCTCAGAAAAGAATGGAGAGAGTATCAAAAATGGTAAGTATCTGAAAAACACAAAAGGCCATTTTTTTTTGCTTTTTTTCTCAGCATCTTTATAGATTACTTAAAGTAAAAATAACATTGTCTTGTGGAGTTTATAACATAGGTAGATGCAATGCTGCATTGTAAAGGACATGGGGGACGGGATAAAGACCTATATGCTTACATAGGTTCTACGTTTTATGAGAAGCAGGACAGTGTTAACTGTATGCAGACTGGGAACGGTTAAGGATATATATATATACTAATCCCCAGAATCACCATTAAAGATTTAGCAAAGAAGTATAGCTAAAA